GGACGAAGTCAAGGCCATGCTTCGTATCATTCCTGAGGAAACATACGTACTATTTAATGGTTACATTTTCAAACATACAAGGTGTACCAATGGATGGTAATGCTAGCCCGGATAATGCCGATCTCACACTGTCAGCAATGGAGTATCGCTTCCTTCGTGAGAATCCGGGGCTTCATTTTCATCTTTTCCGATATATCGATGATATTCTAACTGTCAATTGCGCCAATTTTGCGAAAACTGCCAGCAACATTTATGGGCCCAGCCTAAAGCTCAATACCACTTACTCCGGACAACGTGCCTGTTTCTTAGATCTCGAAATTCTATGTCAAGACAGCAGATGCATTTTTGACATATACAATAAGACCTTGGATTACCCATTCACAATTAATTACGGTGAGCATCCTGATAGTGATATGGACCATACGGTACAAGAAAGTGTTATTTTATCACAGTTACTTCGATATGCACGCATTTCTATCCTCCCAGAATGGTTTCTTGACTAGGCTAGACGCCTTATAAATATCCATAGACAAAAAAAGTTTGAAAGTGCCAAACTAGGACGCTTTGTTTTAAGATTTTGCTTCAGGAACCGATCAGTACTTAGCGAATTCATATACCCCGATGATGCAGGAATTAAACACAATTAACACGCAATTTTACTAAAATTACTACCCATGAAAATTGCCAAAATCGTTATTCTCATGAAAATTGCCTCCTCATAACTACATAGAATTACTACCCATTATCATATGTTAGTTCCCTCTACACTCTTATTACTTTCATGCTGTTGCACTTTTCTACTCTCTCTCTTTTTCTTCAACATCCCCGTCTTGCAAAATAGTTACATGTCCTTTCAATACATGGCGGGTAGGAGGCTGTACTGACGATTTCCGCTCCTACCCGCATGCATAGTCCGGTCTCTGTTTACAGCTAAGGGATGAAACATAGGTATCATAAAATGTCTTTTTGTACATGACACTTAAGTCCAATCCTCCTACTCTATTATTCAGCCACTGTTTTCCAACAAGTTTTTGAGTTACCACGGCACCAAGTTACAAACTTTGAAGTGACCGTACGCGCTGCACAAGTGCGCGCGACAGCTGAATTTAAAATCTTTTGCTCGCACATGCACAAAGAATATCTCTGCAAAGTTTCAGCTTCATATCTAGCCTGGTTCCTGAAATCGTTTCCCGCCAAAGGAATTTGCATATTTTCTTGGGAGGTCCGTACGCGGGGTCTAGGCGCGTGTGGGGGAAGACCTTAAAACGTAAAGGATGACGCAGCGGATAGAAAGATATACCCAAAATTTCAGCCTCCCAGCTTTCCTAGTTGCTGAGATGAAAGTGGGTGACAAAATGCACTCGCTCTTGCACACACACACACACACGCACACACATACATACATACACACATACACACACACTCACACAAACACATACACACAGACGACCTCTCGACAATATGCATTTTTGCTGGCTAGCAGCTATAGCGCTGCACAGCAAAAACGCTTAATAATCGAACTCAGGCTGGAACGCACCGGGCGGGTCCGTACGATCATGCGTTTTTGCACCGGATTCGGAGTACTCAGCTCATTAACTGCATGAATGGTTGCTGCTTTACAGCTACCTTTTGCGGTCAAAAATATAAAACACCATAAATTTTGCATAAAGGGGATGAACAGATTCCGTTTAACGGTCGTTCTTTAAAAGTAACCTAGCTGTTCAGTGAGAAATTTTTCCGTCAAAACTTTTAATTGCCCGCACGCAAGAACCACAAGTACTTCAAGGCTGAACTTGAAATACTTTAAGTTGTACTTGGATAGGGAAAATTCTCCCAAAATTTCAGCTTTCTAGTCTTCCTGATCCCCGAGTTGGGAATTTTCCCACTAAAACTTTCATACGCCCTTACGTGAGTACCACTCATAGCTGGGGGCTGAGTTTGAAACCTTCAGCTATCACATGCACAGGGAATGCCCTTACAAAGTTTCAGTCCGCTAGCTCGTGTGGTTCCCGAGGTCGCATCTCCGCCAAAAAATTTGCATATTTTTTTAAAGCGCCCGTACGCGGCACCCAGACGTCCGCGGGGGACGCACATGGTATGGGCACATACTTCCAAAGTTTCAGCCTTCTAGCTTTTCTGGTTTTCGAGTTGAAAGTGGGTGACAAAAAGTGCGAACACACAGACACACATACATACACACACAGGCAGCCTCTTCCCAACATGCATTTTTATAATTAGCATATATGCAAAAACGCATAAAAAACTGTAATCATGTACCTGGAGGTCCATGCGGTCCTATAATTCAACATGTTCCTCCCCAAGCTGACACCGTTTCTCCTACACGCCGGAAGAGGCCAAAGCATGGCCAATATGAGCCCAAGTGTTAGACTACAGCCCAAGGATCATTTCTGCTATTAGCGATCTGCGAGTTTAGTGCAAAAACGCATGATCGCAACAGCAAGCCTAGTGCGTTCCAGCCTAGGTTAATACTTTTATATACATTAGATTACACTATACTGACATTATCCTTTCTTGTGTAACCCTACAATTCAATTTCCCTCCTCCCACTCATCCTCAACACTTCGACCTACTTCCCACCATTCACTAATTTCTAACAGTTCCACCAAATTCTAAATAATTCCATATTACCTGCCTTCTCACTCACTAACTAACTTGCCCTCCTTTTCCCTCCACCAATTTTCCTTATATAAACCTCTTCCTAAAATCCAGGCCCTCAGTTTTGGAAATCAACACGCGCCATTGATCCACTACGTACCTGCCTCGATTAATGCTACTAGCGTCTCGCCTCAGCACCACCAGTAGTGCCCTTCTGCTGACCAGCTTGTGCGGAGCCCCGGCTCATCATTTTACGCGTCGTTTTATTCGTCGTTTTGTTTGAAGCGAAGCTTTTGTTGAAAGAATAAAGTGCTGGTATTTTTCCCTGTCTTCCGCTGCTGCAGTCCAGGACCACGTGAGGTCCTAACACTTGTACAAATTTATCGAAGTTCATAATGATTACAATTGTCTTATTTTTGGTCAAAGTTTTTACGTCAGGTCTTACATTCAACAATACAAATGCAGCAACCTAGCATACAAGTTCTGCAAACTTCTCACTATTTTATACAATACGTACAAAACTATTAATTTACATAATAATTGGACAACGCAGGGGCTGCCTGTGCGAAGATGCGTTTTTTGCATAGCTTCTCTCAGATTTTTGTCGCTAACGGCACTGGTTTTTTTCGGCGGATGCTTCTAGCTAAAAGAATTTCAGACTGGCCGCCAGCACTGTCAGGAGAAATCCCTTCAAAATTCCAGTCTTCTAGCTTCTCACGCTCTCGAGTTAGCAACCTACCCGGAAGAAAGTTTCACGGGCCCGTACGTAGGTACCACGCTTAACCGGGGGATGGGCTCCAGTGCATTAACACCTACTTGGACGGGGAACATCCCCTAAGATTTCAGCGTTCTAGCTTATCAGATCCTCGAGTTAAGAACTTACCCCAAAGAAATTTTGGCAGGCCCGTACGAGGGTACCACGCGGGTGATGGCGCCCATTTTGGGGATTGGGATCGGCACTGCGTGTAGATTAAGTTCCTTCGTCCCTGCAGCTTTTATAGGTCTTGAGATGAAAGTGCGTGTCAGATGCACACCGACACACGGACAACCCCTCGTCAATATGTGTTTTTGCATTGCGTAGCTGCAAAAAACGCATAAAAAATTAACACCGCTGTACACTGCACTACACATAAATTTCCTTACTATTACCTTTTGCCATTAATGGATGTCTTTGATTCTTGCAACATTTTTTAAATCAATTTTTAGCGTTTTTGCTGTGCAGTTCTATATAGCGCTGCTATAGCCAGCAAAAACGCATATTGTCGAGAGGCTCTGTGTGTGTTTGTGTGTGTGTGTGTGTTCGGGATCTAGTGCATTTTGTCACCCACTTCATCTCGGCAACTGGGAAAGCTGGTAGGCTGAAACTTCGGGTACACGTTCCTATCCTGTGTGTCGTCCTCCCGCTTTAAGATCTTTCCCCATACACGCCTAGATTCCGCGTACGCCCCCCCCCCCAAAAAAAAAATGTGTTGGCGGGAAAAGACTTTGCAGACCAGGCAAGGTAGAAAGCTGAAACTTTGCAGGGATACTCTCTATGCACGTGCGAGCTAAAGATTTTAAACTCAGCTATCGAGCACCCCAACCACAGCCTCAAGCAGCTCGTCAACCCAAAAATCGTTAAAAAATCCATCGACCCGGACCCGACTCCAATCGTATATGTAAATGAACATTAGTTAATTTGCACATATGGATTTTTTGACAAACGACCGCTCGAGCACTACTTCCACTTTTTAGTGAACTGGAAATTTGCATTTTTTCAAAAAATTTACATTTGTCATTTTTTCACGAAGCAAGTATTTGCCGAAAAAACGACCGGACTTCATGCAAAAAAAAAACAGCCGCTAAAACCGGTAAAACCAGTTTTCTATAGTAAAACAGCTGCTACCTGAGCCCCTAA